CCAGAACAAAACTCAATAATTAGGGGAAGATAACAGAACTTAATAACTCCATAATGTTGAGCATACAATCTAAAGTGTCAGAAAAAAATAAAATAGTAAAAAAATAAAAAATAAGGGGCGCCTAGGTGGCTTAGCCAGTTAAGTGTTTGAGTCTGGATCTCAGCTCAGGTCTTGATCTCAGGGTCATGAGTTCAAGCCCCGTGTTGGCTTCCACATTGGGCATGTAGCCTACTTAAAAATTTTTTTTAAATAAAAAATAAATTAATTAAGAGCACTGGGTGTTATATGCAACTGATAAATCACTAAATTCTACCCTGGTAACTAATAATATGGTACATGTTAATGCAATTAAATTTAAATAATTTTTAAAAATAAAATCAATTGATCACAAATTTAAAAAATAAAGTGTTAGACATATGAGGCAGGAAAATATCCATAAACATGGGAAAACTCAACCAACCGACCCAGAAATATACAAATTAAGGAACAGGCAGACAAGGGCTTCAAAACAACTATTAAAGCATATTTGGGAATTCAAAGGAAAACATAAACATAAGGAATAGATAGAGAATCTCAATAAAAATATGATGGACACTACAAAATATCAAGCCAATTTTAGAAATACAAAAATGCAAAAAACAGTATCTCAGCTTGGGTTGTCATGGGGCCCACCAGGCCACCAGTGGGCTGATGGGATCTCAGCAAAATTACAATAAGCAAGCTGCTCCTTAGCACTGGAAGCTCTGGCTTATGGGATCTCAAAATCAGAAATATGAGAAAAATCTCAACATAGTACAGCTCTAAAAAAAATAAATAAATAATCTAAACTTCTAATTCCATATGCTATTATTTAGGTCACTATTCAAGGCAGAAAGAGAAGGCTAATATTTATGGCCTGGCAAACAGAGCCAAAACAAGATGCAACCCTATTTAAAACATTCTCAAATGGCATATACTTTATAAAGCAATAATTGAAAAATATCAAAGTGGAACTAAATAGTTCCTATTTTAGTTTGCAGACTCTGCAATATATAGTTTCAAAAATGCATTAACAACAATCTGGCTCCTTTTCTTCAAGCATACGCAGGAAATATTTGGCATATGAGAGTTATTCCCATAAAGATGAGTCAGATAATAAGCAAATGATCATTACCTCAAATTATATGAAATGGAAAGAAGCCATTAATGCAGCATTAAGGTCATAAATGCACACAATTGGAAGCCAACAAAATAAAACATTAGTTCTCAAAGCATTATTATCCCATCCATGCTGCCACATTAACTGTACACACTAAAACCTCTAACAAATAATTTGTGTGAAATACAGAGGATTAAGCTTCCCATTTTCATGTTAACTTGCAGATTTCCCAGTTTATTTACTGGCTAAGAGTGAGTGTCTAAAGTCACAACTCAAAAGGGCCCTGCATGTCTGAATCACTCCAACGTTCCGAACATGCTTCTCAGCAGCTCACCGCAGGCTCCCCAAGCCTTCACCCAACAGAAGCACAGCACTGGGAAATAGGTAATTGAATATCCATCCTAAATTATTCTTCTGGGAACTTCTTGATCCTTACACATTACGTAAGCCAGGTCTGGTCTACTTTAGTAAGCATTGGTGAGGAGATAATTGAAAGCAAATTCAAAAATGCTAGAGCTTGCACAAACACTACTCTTCTAGTATTCTCAACAGGATACTAAGCAAATAGAGCCCCTTATCTATGCTTTGTGGTATGTATACACATATGTGTGCATAGGGAATAAAAACCATGAATATCATGACAATTATCCATAATTTTTATATGTGTATATACAAATTATAAATATACATACAGTCATGAATTTCTAAAATTAACTCACAGGAATTATACATACATAGTCATACATAAACTCATAAAAACTTGATAGGATCAAGAATTGTGTGCCTACTATGTGGGACAGCACGCTGGGCATCAGGAACAAAAAAAGCTGAGTAAGATGGGAGCCCTGCCTTCCAAGAATTTACAGTCTAATGGGGAATCAGATAAGCACATCAACAACTAAGGGGGAAAAAAGTCAATTAGCCTGAGTGTAGTGATACATGTACAAATAAGTCCTAGGAAAACATTAAGAAAGATGTACAAATGATGAGGAAGCGGGCAGGAAGGGAAGGTTTCCCAAGAGAGCGGATGCCTGAACTAAAATATGTAAGACTCATTAATTAAATATAAAAGTGGAGCCTCTAGGCAAAAGGAACTATCTGTACCAAGGCATGAAAAGCATGATGGGGCTAGAAAAGCGCGAGCTGCTTTGTACTAGAACATAGGCTGCATGGCAGGGGGATCTTAAGGGACAGACTGACTGAAAGGTCAGAAAAAATGAGTATTCTACAGTCAGTGGGGAACAACTGAAAGATTCTAGGCAGAATAACAGGACTAGTAGTGGTGGTGATAATAAAAGCTTAAGGTCTCCTAAGTACTTAGTATGTGTCAGACGTTATCCTAAGAGCTTTACATATACTAGCGCTTATTATTTTTTTCCAAAACTCAGTCTGTAACATTATGTCATTACAGGTACTTGAGTCTCAGTAAGGTAACCTGTCCAAGGTCACATTTCTAGAAAGCAGGGAGCCAGATCTGAAGGGGAACTGGATGGAATTCCCATTTAACAGTGATCAATTTGGCAAGCAGTGTGAAGTGAGAGGCAAAGAGAAGAAAACCTGGTCAGGAAACAGTTGTAAAAAATAAATAAACAAATAAATAAAACTTAGTGAAAATGTTAAAAGCCTGAGCTAGGGCTGTGATGGGCGAGAGACATTTTCACAGGTTCCCAGGGCTTGAGCTAAGCAAAAGCGATGCTTCCCCATTGTGTCAGTACCGCTGCAGTGAAGTATTTCTCTCTTCCCTGACAGACTGCAAACCCTTCAGTCAATGTCGCCTACAGCTTACTCCTCATTTTATACACAGCGCCTAGGAGAGTGCCTGGCACACAGCAGCAGCTTAATATTTATCAAACAAAGGTATTATGCTGAGTGAAATAAGTGAATCAGAGAAAGACATGTATCATATGACCTCACTGATATGAGGAATTCTTAATCTCAGGAAACAAACTGAGGGTTGCTGGAGGGTGGGGTGGGGTGGGAGGGATAGGGTGGCTGGGTGATAGACACTGGGGAGGGTATGTGCTATGGTGAGCGCTGTGAATTGTGTAAGACTGATGAATCACAGACCTGTACCTCTGAAACAAATAATACATTATATGTTTAAAGAAAAAAAAAAGAGAAGATAGTAGGAAGGGAAAAATGAAGGGGGGAAATCAGAGTGGGAGACGAACCATAAGACTATGGACTCTGAGAAACAAACTGAGGATTCTCGGGGGGGGGATGGGTTAGCCTGGTGATGGGTATTAAGGAGGGCACGTACTGCATGGAGCACTGGGTGTTATACGCAAACAATGAATCATGGAACTCTACATCAAAAACTAATGATGTAATGTACAGTGATTAACATAACACAATAAAAAAAAAAGAATATCACCATTCATAAGAAAACTGAAAACATCTTTCAAACATCTGATCTTTATTTTTCTGAGCACATGTGGATGGCCAAAAATGAGAAAGATGAGAAGGAAACTCGCCCTGAGCCATTCACTAATGGCACATCTGACAAGGAGTTTAAGACCAGCATTGCCACAGGGAAGCTGGGAGAAATCCTCTGTATTACCATCATTTTGTAGATTTCAGAATTATCGAAAAACAAAATTTCTCCTCGCTCTTTCACTGTCAAGGATTTATCATCTTACCCTAATGCCACCTGGAGATAAAATACGTATACTATGTTCTTCCAATTAAAAGAGAAAAAGGCATATAAGGCCCTAAATACAGTGTCTGGCACACAGTAAGGTCACTATAAATATTTGTCATCATCACAACAACCATGATTACCATCGTTAGGACTCCTACAACTATGACACTGTTAAACTAACCCATGGTCAGACAGATGGAACTGCAGGTCCCTGACTAAAACACAGAGAATAGTTGCGTTTACCTAATAGCACCCTCCTAATTATTTTCTTCCTGTAAGGTTCCCTCTGCCTTTTCATACCTGCTCCTGAAGACAGAAACACGCCCCCAGCTTCTCCTAACTTCTACTCATCCCTTAGGCTGCTTTCCAAAGTCACTTTTTCTCAACAATCTCATCTCACAGCCCTGGTTAAATGCTCACTCTGCTCTGTATTTTTCCTTCATCAGATTTGTCAAAGTTAGTAATTATATTTTGAGTGTCTATATACCTCAAGAGGTAGGGGACCGTGCCTTTTTGCTCAGTCATATCCCTAGTACACTGCAAAATGGTTCATATACATAAATGATAGTAATTTGTGCTGAATACATCAGCAGAAGAATGATCAAATCCCAGATTTTTTTTTACTAGTTTGTATCTAATCAACTCTTGACTTATATATATTTATATATTTTTTTTGCATTGAATTCAAAATAAAAGCCTAGAGGCGCCTGGCTGGCTCAGTCAGTAGAGTATGTGACTCCATCTCGGGGTCAGGAGCTCAAGCCCCACAATGAGTGGAGAGATAACATTAGGGGAAAAAAAAGACTACAGACAAATACTTTATCCCCAAACTGGCATAGACTTTTATTTAAAATATTTTATTTATTTGAGAGAGAGAGAGTGTGACGAGCAGGGGGAGGGGCAGAGGGAGAAGCAGGCTTCCCTCAGAGCAGGGAGCCCGTTGCGGGCCTAGGTCGCAGGACCCTGGGATCATGACCTGAGCCAAAGGCAGACGCTTAACTGACTGAGCCACCCAGGCAATTGCAAATCTCTTTAAAATGTCCAAAATGGACAAAGCAAAACATTTAAGGCAGTAAGAGAAATCAGTTAAGAAGTTTTAAAATTAGCTTAATAGAGTCACAACAGTCATTAATATTTAGTATCTACTCTGACATTTAAGGAATACTGTTAACTGTTATAAATTTGAAATTTTCATTTTTTCAATATTTTGGAAACTCTTACCTTGACATTTCCCAATAATAGATGTAAAATCATCTTTTGCAGACCTGCAAAATATGTGTAAAATTAAGCCAATAGTTTCACCACAACACCATTTTGTTGTACTATGAAACCACACAAAAAATGATAAAACAGACAACTTGTCTGCCCAACACTAAACCAGTCCTTCTCTCAGACATGGATTTGTGCTCAAATAAGACCGTTCCATTGGTGACAACATTTTCTTGCAACCTTATTTCACGAGAAACAGAGCTACACCCGGAATAGAATAATGTAAGCGTAAGTTAGATTAAGCATGGTCTTTTAATACAATACAGATGCATGGCCCCTCCCCAAAGGTTCTGATTCAGCAAATATGGAACAGGGCCAAGCAACAATATTTTTTTAAAGCTCCACAGATTGATCTTGGTCAAGAACCATGGTCTGTATCATATTACAAAGTTTAAATCACTTAGGGGAAAATAAGTCTTGCTTTAATAAATCAAATAGCTTTAAGAGGTGACCATATTTGTTACCAGTGACCTATTTAAAATCTGTGATCTTGAAATATATACCAAAGTGATATCATTATTATATGTTTAAAAATGAAAATTGGTAAACCTTCTAGAAAATAATTTAGTAACAATTATCAAAAAACCTTAATGCCCACAGTAATTTGATCTAGCAATTCAACTTCTATAATTAAGTTATCCCTGGGAAATAATTACAGATACACACAGATCTCAAGGAAATTCATGCAGCCTAATTTATGAAAGAGAAAAATACACCCAGTAGAAGATCAGATTTTGCTAATGCACTCAATGAAATATCATGCAATTACTGCATGTGATTTGAAAATTAATAATATTATGAACATCTTCCCATAAGTTATCAAGAAAATAGGTTATCAAATAGAATGTATAGAATGTATTGTTAAGACTAAAGAGCACACCCACACACAGAAAAGGTACAAAAAACATACAGCATTTTGGCTGACCCGTAGGTAATTTGTAGTTCTTCTTTCTTAAAGACTTAACTCTTTTCTAATATTGGTAAAATGACTAAGCATCACTTTTAAAACAAATTATAAAGACTAATATTTATTAAAATATGACATGGGGTGCCTGGGTGGCTCAGTCATTAAGAGTCTGCCTCTGGCTCAGGTCATGATCCTGGGGTCCTGAGATCGAGTCCCACACTGGGCTCTCTCTCCCACTCCCAGTTTGTGTTCCCTATCTCGCTGTCTCTCTCTCTGTCAAATAAATAAATAAATAAAATCTTTTAAAAAAGAATATGACAGCCACAGCAATCGGACAACAAAAAGAAATAAGAGGCATCCAAATCAGCAAAGAAGAAGTCAAACTCTCACTCTTTGCAGATGATATGATACTTTATGTGGAAAACCCCAAAGACTCCACCCCAAAACTGCTAGAACTCATACAGGAATTCAGTAAAGTGGCAGGATATAAAATCAATGCACAGAAGTCAGTGGCATTCCTATACACCAACACCAAGACAGAAGAAAGAGAAATTAAGGAGTCGATCCCATATACAATTGCACCCAAAACCATAAGATACCTAGGAATAAATCTAACCAAAGAGGCAAAGGATCTATACTCAGAAAACTATAAAATACTCATGAAAGAAATTGAGGAGGACACAAAGAAATGGAAAAACGTTCCACACACATGGATTGGAAGAACAAATATTGTGAAGATGTCAATGCTACCTAGAGCAATCTACACATTCAATGCAATCCCCATCAAAATACCATCCACTTTTTTCAAAGAAATGGAACAAATAATCCTAAAATTTGTATGGAACCAGAAAAGACCCCGCATAGCCAGAGGAATGTTGAAAGAGAAAAGCAAAGCTGGCGGCATCACAATTCCGGACTTCCAGCTCTATTACAAAGCTGTCATCATCAAGACAGTATGGTACTGGCACAAAACAGACACATAGATCAATGGAACAGAATAGAGAGCCCAGAAATGGACCCTCAACTCTATGGTCAACTAATCTTTGACAAAGCAGGAAAGAATGTCCAATGGAAAAAAGACAGTCTCTTCAACAAATGGTGTTGGGAAAATTGGATAGCCACATGCAGAAGAATGAAACTGGACCATTTCCTTACACCACACACAAAAATAGACTCCAAATGGTTGAAAGACCTCAGTGTGAGACAGGAGTCCATCAAAATCCTAAAGGAGAACACAGGCAGCAACCTCTTCGACCTCAGCCGCAACAACTTCTTCCTAGAAACATCGCCAAAGGCAAGGGAAGCAAGGGCAAAAATGAACTATTGGGACTTCATCAAGTTAAAAAGCTTTTGCAAAGCAAAGGAAACAGTCAACAAAACCAAAAGACAACTGACACAATGGGAGAAGATATTTGCAAATGACATATCAGATAAAGAGCTAGTTCCAAAATCTATAAAGAACTTATCAAACTCAACACCCAAAGAACAAATGATCCAATCAAGAAATGGGCAGAAGACATGAACAGACATTTTCCAAAGAAGACATCCAAATGGCCAACAGACACATGAAAAAGTGCTCAACATCGCTCGGCATCAGGGAAATCCAAATCAAAACCTCAATGAGATACCACCTCACACCAGTCAGAACGGCTAAAATTAACAAGTCAGGAAATGACAGATGTTGGCGGGGATGTGGAGAAAGGGGAACCCTCCTACACTGTTGGTGGGAATGCAAGCTGGTGCAGCCACTCTGGAAAACAGTATGGAGGTTCCTCAGAAAGTTGAAAATAGAGCTACCCTACGATCCAGCAATTGCACTACTGGGTATTTACCTCAAAGATACAAAAGTAGGGATCCGAAGGGGTACGTGCACCCCGATGTTTATAGCAGCAATGTCCACAATAGCCAAACTGTGGAAAGAGCCAAGATGTCCATCGACAGATGAATGGATAAAGAAGATGTGGTATACATATACAATGGAATATTATGCAGCCATCAAAAGGAATGAGATCTTGCCGTTTGCAACGACGTGGATGGAACTGGAGGGTATTATGCTGAGCGAAATAAGTCAAAAAGAGAAAGACATGTATCATATGACCTCACTGATATGAGGAATTCTTAATCTCAGGAAACAAACTGAGGGTTGCTGGAGTGGGGGGTGGGGTGGGAGGGATGGGGTGACTGGGTAATAGACACTGGGGAGGGTATGTACTCTGGTAAGCGCTGTGAATTGTGCAAGACTGTTGAATCTCAGATCTGTACCTCTGAAACAAATAATGCAATATATGTTAAGAAAAAAAAAGAAGCTAGCAGGAGGGGAAGAATGAAGGGGGGGAAATCGGAGGGGTAGACGAACCATGAGAGACGATGGACTCTGAAAAACAAACTGAGGGTTCTAGAGGGAGGGGGGTGGGAGGATGGGTTAGCCTGGTGATGGGTATTAAAGAGGGCACGTTCTGCAAAAAAATAAATAAATAAAAAAGAATAAAATAATAAAAATAAAAAAGAATATGACAGACAAAAGCCAATTATAAATATGGTAATAACTTTCTTCAAGAAATTGACTATTCAGCCTCCAAGTAGAATACAGTGGAAAGAACATGGTCTTTGAAGTGAGGCTGACCTGATTTCAGCTCATCTGGGTAACCTGGACAAAATATTCAATAGGAGTTTTATTTCCTCTCAATAAAATAGAATGGGTAATAGCAACTTCATAGCTTAGGGAAAGATTAATGAAGACACGTATAAATACATATAAATTAGCACCAACTAGACTTAAGTCAGTGTTTATTACTTACATCCTTAGTATCATCACAAATAATAGTTGCTCTTCTGCTGGGGAAATGGAGGGAGAGAGACATAAATTTGGTTCTGTCAAAACTTCATAAATATATTCACTTAAGCAAATTTGGGGGAGAATGCCTTTTTTTATGAGTCCCTTATTTTAATGCTTTTTGTTGTGTTCTGTGATGGTTCCTAATTAGTCCCTAACAGCCCATAATAAGAAATTGTTACTTCACTACTTAGGAAAAAAGGAAACACATATTAGCACTTATAATATGTAATTACTGCCAAATTACAAATTAAAGTAGCAATTCACAAGAAGTCGCTTTTTATCCATGTGAGCCCCACACACAAGCAGGTTAGGGATGCCGTATCAGAGCAAAGGACCGGAGTCACCTGCCACCCACTACAAACACATTGGGGCCCAGCAGCCCTGGTATGATCTTGAAAAAGGCAGGGCTCTCTCTGAACTACAACTAACACGTGTTTCAGCTTTGCATTTTCTCTCCTCAAAAACATTTCCTATTTATGACTGCTTCTAAATATCGAAAAATGACCCTGAACACTAGAGCAATCTTTCATATTGTAATACAATCAACAAATACTGACCGAATACCAGGTACCCACTACTAGCACTACTGAGCAATCTTGCCTTGTATATGTTCTTCACCACAGCACAAAAAACAAACGTGGAATAGCGAAAACAAAGATCTTAAACTCAGGCACAGCCACGGTGCATCAGGTTTACTTTGAGGATTTACCCTGCCCTTTTTCTTTGCTAACCATTCCACATCTTTGCTCAAACACTCTTCCTTTCAGATTACTACGAAGTGTATCTATCAATTCAGCAAGAGGAACTGACTGCCAACTCTGAGCAAGTCAGTGGACTATGCCCTGGAATGTCCTCCCAGCCTCTGGTTCTTCTATCCCACTTACAAACACCTTACTTATTCATCAAACACTAACCAGGCATCTATTATGTTCAAGGAAATATAAACTCCTAGGGAGGAGCGCCTGGGTGGCTCAGTCGATTAAGCATCTGACTCCTGATTTCGGCTCAGGTCATGATCTCAGGGTCCTGGGATCAAGCCCTGCACTGGGCTCCAAGCTCAGTGGGGAGTCTGCTGGAGATTCTCTCTCTTCCTCTCCCTCTGCCCCTCCCCCTGCTCGTGCATGCTCACTCTCTCTCTCTCTCTCTAGCTCTCTCTAAAATAAAATCTTCAATAAACTGCTAGGAAAAAAGGACAGGGCCCGCTTCCAAGGAACACACAGTGTAACTGGACTTGCAGACACCAGATCCCACTCACAAGGAATTTTAAGTAAATGACAACCCTGGAGTTGTGCAAAGCAGTGGCCCTAACTATACCAGGGGAAACCCACATGTAAGCATACAAGCATATATGGCTAAACAACATGATCAAAAGGTAGTATAGATTAGGGGTTAAAAGCAGGAACACTGAAGCTAGAATGGTAGATTTCAAATCCTCAAGCAAGTAATTTAGCCATATTGTGCCAGCTTCCTTATTTCTAAAATGGAGAAAAATAGCAATGCCTACCTCACAGGGTTTCTGCAAAGATTAAATGAATTAACACATGCAAAGCACTTACAAGAGAATGCCCAACACCATTAGCATTAGCCTATCGTTAAGTATAATAGTGTTGATTTCAGGAGCATAAAGGATTGGTACCTAACCATTGAGGGGGAGGGGTGGGTCCATGGGGAGTGTGTTTCTGAAAAGCTTGCTAGTGGAATTCACGCCTTACCATGTAAAACTCCTTAGATATAATAATGTTATCAAAAGCTTTTGCAAATTACACACTAGATGAATAAGATCTTGATGAGCATCACTTCCGTTGCCTAGAATTCTTCCCTCACCACTTAGTCTCAAATACATGAGTGAATTCCTGGAGTTGGATATATGTACAAGTTTTATAAATATTTTACACTCTTAACAATCCAGTAGCAAATCCTTTTATTAAAGCAATTTTTTTTTTGTTCTTCTCATCAAAAATTTTATTAACGAATTCCAGAAACCCATGGTCAAACTCTTCTTCACTGGCCTAAGTATCAATCCCATCCCCACATGCACATTCTGACCCTAACACCTAAAATCATTCCACTGATGTTCTCATTTCATGGAAGACGGAAATTTTGACAATTAACGGTTATTTGTAAAGTCACACCATAAGCACATTTCTCAAAAAGATACAGTTCACATTACTGCAACAAACAGAATAGCAAGTACTTGCCCATTCCTATGAACAACGGAAGTTCAAAAATTGTGTCAGCCTGATGCTTACTGATGCTGTGTTAAAAAAGAGGGACCTGCCTATCAAAGCATGCCAAATTAAGTAATGTAGTTTGGAAAGGCTGTCATTATTGTCAATCATCTCCATCCTGATGATTGTAAGAGGGATCATGAAACAAAGCCTCCACATCTGAAGTTGATGCCCCAATGCAGACAAACCCTCTGTCTACTCCCCCACAAGTTGAGGGGTCCAGGTCTGTTTGGATAACTAGAAAAAGAAATTACAAAAACAAAAAGCTAAAACCAGTGTGATAACAACTGAATGCTCATTATACTATGCTTAGTCAAGAATAATAAAGTATCAGAAGAAAGTTTTGACTGGTATCTAGGCATCCTGAAATTTCAGTCTCATTGCTTATTTTTTAAAAAACCAAGAGCTACACCTTCCCTGAAGAAGTAGCCTCTAATTTTAGAAACGCAACACATTTTGTCTGCTATTGGTAATTCCCCCCCCCCCCCCCCAAAATTAACTAGTTTTCCTGAGTTAGTTGCTATTGTTGCTATTTCTTTCACACTGATCTATTACTTAAAAATAAAATACATGGAAGGGCACCTGGGTGGCTCAGTTGGTTAAGCATCTGACTTCAGCTCAGGTCATGATCTCAGGATCCTGGGATTCAGCCCTGCCTAAGGCTCCCTGCTCAGCGGGGAGCCTGCTTCTCCCTCCCCTTCCCCTTTTCCTCCCCCCACCCTTGCCTTTTCTCTAATAAAAAAATCTTTAAAAATAAATAAAATTAAAAAAAATAAAGTACATGGAAAGCCCAGCTTAGAGAAGCCTTCTAGATGTGTATAGAATACCACTGAATGTCTCAAGATGACAGAATATCACTGGTCTCAAGTAATACGTAATCCTTGTCTTTTAAAGACTCATGTTCCATCTACAGCTTTATGCCAACAGAGCAAAGTAGTCCCTACTTCAATACCTTCTTGAGTATCTGCTTCAGTTGACTTAGCAGTAACCAGTCAAACAAGAGTGACTTCTAGAGTTCTGAAGATATGCCTGGTCTCCTGAGAAAGTAAAATTTCACAGGTGACAGCAGACTGATGTGGGGAAGTAGGCCCTGCTACTCTAACAAAGTATCTTTCGTCCTGTAATTGGCATAAGTGGTGTCTGACACCTCACAAAATTATGCAAGTTAATGGTAAAATCCCTTTAAATATGCCCCTTCAAAAATCTTAGTTCCCCTAAATCAAGTAAAATTTTCTCAAGGGAAATTTTAAATATGAATAATATTAACAATTACCGGATCTCTCTCAAGGGAAGTTTTAAATATGAATAATATTAACAATTACCTGATCTCCACACACTGATCTTGAACAGCAGCCAAAAGTTTTCCATTGCTTTCACGGCCGAGAGAGAGAAAAAAATTCTATGTGAATATTTGCAGCGGTCTTCAACAAAGATGGAATGACTCTAAGACGTTAAAAATCATTTTTAAATGCTTTCGCATCTTCAATTATCCAACTTTTGACCTTAAAACTAAAGGAGTATAAAGGTACCGAAGTGTACACAAAAATGATTCAATACAGGTGAATTAATACATTTAAAAGATACCAATCATATGTGACAAAGTGAATTCACATACAGTAAAATAAAAATAAAATCAAGACTGCAAGCCAAAAGTCCCCAAAATTAATATCCATAATGAAACCTAAGTGCTAATCCCAGTAGAGAAACACATAAATTTTTAACACCTTACCTTGCAAGTACCAAATGCCAGTTTATCTGTTTATTAACCAAGCGAACCAGTCCATCAGGGAGCAAAAAAGGCACAGGGCTGAAACAACACATTAGCTAACTTAAAATCTAATCATGAAAGACACACATAAGTAAATAAATATTATAAATAGCATATAGAGCTATAGCAAGATAAGATTTTTTTTCCATTCGAATGTAAGATTTGAATATTGGTAAACCCAAAACTAAGAGTTACTAATTAGTTATCTGAAATTTGACCACATACATATCTCTTTTTCCAGAAAAACATGGTGGTATGTTCAAAACATAAATTTTATGTCCTTCCTAAGGAAAAGATATCGAAGATACCAGTACCATAGCAGAATGAGCCTGCGAAAAACCCTTCCTGTTACACACACCTAGAAATTCTGACTCGGGCACCTGGGTGGCTCAGTTGGTTGAGCAACTGCCTTCAGCTCAGGTCATGATCCTGGAGTCCCAGGATCAAGTCCCGCATTGGGCTCCCTGCTCAGTGGGGAGTCTGCTTCTCCCTCTGACCCTCCCCCTCTCATGTGCTCTCTCTCTCTCTCTCAAATAAATAAATAAAATCTTAAAAAAAAAAAAAAAAAAGAAATTCTGACTCAGTCTAACAAATTCTGGTATACAGCTAAACTCACAAGAATGAAAGAAATCTTCAAATGCTAGAAATGAAAGGGGAACTTAAAGTTCGAATTGGGTACAGGTACAAGAACTCAAAACAGGAGGTAACACCTGGGACAGGAAAGGAGCTGCAGGGCACAGAAAGAACAGAAGCTGAAAGGGGGACTCCAGCAAGGCCAGCACCTCCCTTGACCCCTTGACATGACTGCACTCAGTGAAAGGAGGAAGGACTAGACAAACCTCGCCATGGGGAGAGGTGTGGCGAGCATTGTTCAGGAATGTCATCTAAGTCTGGAATTCGGTCTGTGGGAGGATGGGAATGAAATCCCCTATGAAAAAGAAAAATCCCAAACCTTTACTACATGCAAGATCAGACCGCAATTTCACTTCACTCAAGTGGTGCAAGAATCGCCAAGCACAAGCTCACAATAACATCATTCACCAAAGACAGGAGGAAAGGATTCACCGGCAGTGTACGAACAGATACAACAAATTGGGAGTAACGCAGGGCAGGAGGAAATCAAGAAAATAGATGGAAGGGGCGCCTGGGTGGCTCAGTCGTTAAGCATCTGCCTTCGGCTCAGGTCATGATCCCAGGATCCTGGGATCAAGTCGGGCTCCCTACTCAGCAGGAAGCCAGCTCTCCCTCTCCCACTCTCCCTGCTTGTGTTCCTGCTGTCCCTATCTCTCTCTCTGTCAAATAAATAAATAAAATCTTAAAAAAAAAAAAGAAAAGAAAATAGATGGAAAAGAAAAATAAAGAAAACAAGCTGGTGGGGAAAAAAAAAAAAACAAGAAAAAAAAAACACCATGGAAATTAGAAAACAAAAAAGTAGGATAAAAGTATCAGTAATATACATTCAGCATATTTATGTTCATTTCTAAAACACAAAATATTTTATACCATGGTAGTTACAGAAATATTATAACAAAGATATGAAACATGCACGTGAACAATACCATCAACTGAGGATGATAATTTCCTCTGGTGGGGAAGGGAGGTGGGGGGGCAAGGAGTTGTAACATTTTGCATAAAAAGAGAGAGAAGGCTATCTGAACCAAACAGCAACAACTGCCTAATTCACATGCAGATAATACCATAATAAACTTGTTCGGACTTAAAAGGTCTATAATTCTCAGTCTGTTTATAATACTTCACAATTAAAAGAAAAAGAAAAAGCTACCCGAAACAAATATTGCCCCGAAACCTTTAAGTTTAATTACTATAAACTCAAGAGCAAAAACTGAATTTTTTTCAGTTAACTTTATGTTACCTATGAAAGTAACATATCGGAAGATTAAATGATCACTTCATGGCACTGACCTATACTGACATATTTTCTGCCCACACTTCCCTAAGATGTTCAGGACTATCAAGCTAGATCACCCAGTGAGCTCAGGAAAAACAGCCTACCTCTTAAATACTCCTCCCCGTCCCTACCCCTCCCTCAGCTCTCATCTCTTTACCCTATCATACTGAACACACACCCCAAAAAAACAAGATAAAATTAAATAAGAAATTAAATCTATACACACACACACACACACACACACAGCAGAAAAAATTCAGAGCTAATCCTAGAGAAGAGTCAAAGGTCTCTTTTATAAAACCCTATTATCTCTGGAGCTTTTAAGATTAGATGTCCTTAAGGAAAAAACAATCTGTGTTAAATAAATCTATAAAACAATTCCTATACACCTGTCTAAAAGCAGAACTATATCATTTGTCAGAACGATCATTTCTCTGTTCCTTTTAAGCCTGAACACTTACACCATGCCTAAAAAGACTTAACACTGAAAAGAATTAAAAAGTACACAAGAACTGAAACCTAAAGGACCTTCCTTGATACACAGCAACTGAATATTGACTACAAGAATTGTTGATACAATAAGTACAAAATTGTTTTTATTTTTATCTTTTTTTTTTTTTTACTTTTTAAAGATTTTATTTATCAGAGAAAGAGAGAGCACAAGCAGGGGGAGCAGCAGGCAGAGGGAGAAGCAGGCTCCCCGCTGAGCAAGGAGCCCATCATGAAACTCGACCCCAGGACCCTGGAATTATGACTCAGCCCAAGGCAGATGCTTAACCGACTGAGCCACCCAGGCATTCCCAGTTCAGAACATTTTTTTTTAATTTAATTTTTTTATTCTTATGACAAAATTGTTTTTAAAAAGCTCCCCAAGCATGTGGGCATTCAAGATAAGGCTGAGAACACTCATCAGAGAAAGCAGAAGTCATCCCGAGATATTCTGAATAATGACTAAAGGACGAAAATTACCCTTAGTCGACTGAGATACCTTGTCAGTGTATCAACTGTTTGAAAAGGTCTACTTCATTCACCTGAATGTCAGCATCTGTACCACAATCTGGGACTGAATTCTGAAAACTTAAGTCCCAAATAGGATAATATTTGCATTTGACGTTCATACTGTTCTCTGAAGGACACTTACCTGTACCAGATGTATTGGCGTAAAAATAATAAACGATCTGTAATAAAAAATAGCAAAACCAAATATGAATCAGCTAATCTTTAGGAATCGCTTTCAATTAGTTTCACTGACGATAAATCTAAAATATACTGCAGACTGAATCATTACAAAATATGGAGAACAAAATTCTTAAAATAAAGGTATATGATCTAATATACACTATAACTTTTATAAGATCATACACTTGTGTATGTTAAGTCCCAAGTTTGTGTTACTCAAACATTTGAAGTATTTCCTAACAGTACAAAAAGGAAATGTGAGAAATGTGGTTTGAGATGTGGGAAATGTGGTTTGAAATGTTAAATTTCACCAAAGACTTCAATAAAACCAAGGAGTAGAGAAGTCACCCTTTAAAACCAAAATATTTGTATAAAAATTAAGATATTATTTTGTACTTTATAGCAAAGTTTAAAAAAAAAAAAAAAAAAAACCTAAAATGCACAAGTCCAGGGAAAACAAAATCTCTAACACACTGAAAATAAAGGGACACCTCACTTAAGTAGAGTCGGGAGGCTAGAAGGGGGAGCAGTACACTCAACATCAATTATAGGAGGAAGTGTCAGGCCTCAACAGAAGAATCATCAACAAGAAAGTATCATCAGTTATAGGGCCCAAGAAGGAAGAGATGTACCAATGTACCATCAGACTGCCTACAAGAAATGGACTCCCCCTGCAACTCAGGCGGTAAGAAACCATCATCACCTGAATGCTTTACTCCAATGGGCTTTCATTCAGAACAACCCCTCCCAACTTCCTCCTCCAGAAAATAATGCTCTTCTCCTCTGTTTGTTATACTTGGCTATAGTTTTACTGTAACTTGCTTGTCCTGAATTGCAATTCTGTTATTCCTGAATAACCCTCTTTTGCTGGTAGAATAACTGACAGTTTTACTTTTAAGATTAACTACACTATTGACAAATGACGCTTTATATAATCTCATTTAAAATGTGTACGGGAGTGTGAACATGTAGGTGTAGATCAATGAAAAAAAGTCTGAAGGGTAACAGATTTTCTCCAGGTGGTAAAATGAGAAAATTGTTCATTCGAATTTATAGTTATCCATATTCTCTGAATTTCTCTAAATGAATTTTATTACTTGTGTATATTTTCTAAGTTATCAAAATTTTAAAATATATGTCACAATGAAAATTGAATATTCTAGTGCTTATAAGAGAAGATAAAATTATAGTTAATTTCAAGCACTTAACTCCTTTGAAACCGAATCTTCTTTTTAGAAGTAGCTCAAATTCACCAGTTATTACAAGGATGAGCTCTGGAGCCAGAAAGACATGCAGTCAAATTCCAAATGAGTGACCTTGGACAAGCTTCCTCATCTAAAAACATGGAAGTCATAACAGCACCTACCTTGCTGGTCTAATAAAGGATTAGATCAATAAATATAAATAAAGTTCTCACAGCAGCAACGTAATACAGCCAGTGCTCAAGATTTTCTCAGATACTGTGAGCTCATATGCAAACTTTGTCAGGAGTTACATGAATGCTCTGGTTAATCAAATTATTAATCTGAATAACTCTGACCAGATGTCGCTGAAACATAACGTAAACCACTTAAAATTAAAATACACACATATATAAAATTAAAATCGGATAAAATGTATGCTATTCATTTTTATCAGGCTCTATAAGTCTAAAGAACATTTTAAAATTGCTCAAGTTTTGGGGACACCTGGGTGGCTCAGTCAGTTAAGCATCTGCCTTCGGCTGAGGTCATGATCCCAGGGTCCTGGGATCTAGTCCCACATCAGGCTCCTTGCTCAGCGGGGAGCCTGCTTCTCCCTCTGCCTGCTGCTCCCCCCCTCTTGTGCTCTGACAAAGAAATAAATAAAACTCTTTTTAAAAATAAATAAATAAAATTCCTAAAGTCTCAAAAACAGCGAAGTTATAAATGAAATGAAAAAATTATCTAACTATATCATTGTATAAAGAAAAGTAAGCTATACTTACCTCTAATCGCTTTTGTGACGATAAAGGATGCACCATGTTTTCGGTTGCCTCTAGACTGCAATGGGAAAAAAGAATATTACATTTGAGAATTTTCTACTAGTACTTATACAATATGTAAAGTTACATTTCTTTGCTAATACTCAGTGCAGGGTACAAGTTACCAGTATTTACAAATCGCTATTTAGAAACAAAAGAAGTAGAAGCAGGACTGAAAACAGTGAAAGCAAAAGTAAGCATGGTAGAGTTACAGGCATTCATCAGGACACAGGACAAGGACTGAAGATGGAAAGTCAAACACCAAATGTCGAAACACCAGTCCAGAGACAGAAGAAGTCAAGGGAAAAGACCATATTGGTTGCCAGTTCAGCAGTCTACTTGGGTGGGTTAGAAAGGCCTAAAATAATTTTTGCTTGCAGGAAAAGTGCTCGTATGGATTAATAAACTCGTACCTGGAGGCAAATTTGAGTATTTGTTGTATAACCACAGAGAAAATGCTACTAACACGCACACTGATACACAACTGCTACATTAAATAGTTCCTAAGCATAGACTAAACAATAAGCTAAACAATAGCAGGCACTACAAATAATAAAATGTACTAAGGTGCTGTTAAGAGAGGAACATGGACATACAGTAAGTGCAGACAGATACAGCTTAAAAGCACAGAAAAGGTATTTCATTCCACAAACATGAATTGATTATCCACTGATCAGTAATACACAATTCGGTCCTGGGGAGGGTTATAAAGATGAATCCGATGTAATCGCCCTCCAAGAGCTTGAAGTTGGGCAGGTGAAATCAATAGAACCAAAACCAAAACAAAAAAAGTGCCATGAGGTTTCAATGTAAGTTGACGCTGTACTTTTTTAAATCAATTTATAATGTTAAGCATTCTGAAACATTCCTGTAATTAACCAGTGCTAAGGAGTGAATATGCAAACTTTTCTGACCAATAGCAGCAGCAACAGCCTCCTAGCTACATACCCTACAATATTCACATTGTTCAAGACAAACAGAAACTAAGTATATACTTGAAAAACAACATGTACAGCCTGAAAGAATACATTATTCAAGAATTCAAGACAAGCAAAAACTGCAATGGAAAGGAGGTTAAAGAAAAACTACAAACTTTATAGATAGGAGAAGGAGCAGTTCCTCCAGTAAAGAAACGGGAAAGATGCAAAAAAGAACTCGTATGTCAGGACTTTAATAAAAGTCCTTTTGAATCTTGTTGCACCCTCGCAGTCTAAAACGATGACAGGCACTCAGTAAACATGCTGAACAAATGTGGGTTCCTGGTTCCTACTGTTCACCTTGTGCTGGGAGGCCCCTCTCTACCCAACGACTGAAAACCCTAAGGTCCACTTAAGGTTACCAACCCCCTGAACCCCTTCTTCAGCAAGGAACCCAACCCCAGGTCAGCAGCTCCTCACTCATCCCTGTCGGGGCATTTTGTTCATACCACTATCACAGCGCAATTACACTAAGTGGCGAAAAAGGTTTACTGGATGGTCTGCCATCTAGACTGCAGATACTACAAAAGTTATTCGCCTTTCTACGCCCACCGCCCGACACGGTATCTGGGACGTGGACGGACACACACGTACATTATCTGGGACCCGGACCGACACACTGGCATATTAAATGCTTGTTTACTGAAATACACAGGAATGGGTGCAATTCAGCACCAAGGAGGGGTAAAGGTTTGATGCCGCACTCCGCGGCGGCCCTCCAGATGCTGAGGCGACTGACTGTAGGGTCCTGGAAAGTTCTCCCGCTGCACATGAGGATCAGCCCTGGTCAGCTCTTGCCTCGCCCCCCGGAAAGGACCACCGAGAATCCAGGCGGCAGCCGTGCCTTATTAAACTGGGATCCGGAATGGGAAGGTGCGCGCCCCAGAGCCCGAGGGTCTGCCCGGACGACCGAATTCGGGAGCCCAGGACGGACCTCGGGTACCTCCCGCGTTAGGGGACCCAGACCCCTGTTACAAATCCGCGGCGCCGTTGCCAGGGCGACAGCACAAGCGGCGGAGCCCTGCTCCCCCTCCCACCCAGCTCCACCACCCTACGTGGCTCCAGCTACGTGGCCCTGCCCGGACAGCGCCCGCGCCAAGCTGGCCGCAGCTCTGGAGGGGCCCGGTTCACCTGTACTTCTGTCTCCGAGGGCCACTCGGTGTTGATCAACAGGTCATAGAGAATCGTCTCCTCCTCGCTCTCCGCGGGGGCCGGATTCACAGCCGGCACTGATCCGGAGGCCGCCATGTTCGCCCGGGAGCCGAGCCACCGAAGCAGGGCCACTACGGCGTCGCGCGAGGGACAAACTTCCCAGGCCACTGCCGTTTTTGATTCACGGGAAGGAGGTGTGGTTAACTGGGCGTGGAAAGGAAATGCTGGATTAACCCTTTTAAGAGTGGGAAGTACAGTGACTATTGCCTGCCAGGGGTACGACTTAGGTCCCGGTCCCGGGGTACCCCTTGTTCATTAATCTGCGTGAGATAAACAAGTCTGAACCCCTCCTATCCAGCCAGCTTCTGTAAAACAAAAATGGCAAAGTATCTAAGATGCTAGCTTTCATTTGTATATCTGTAGCCAAATACAAAGAGAGTGCAAACAGTGGTTTTTAAATAAACACCAAAAATTATGCAACTCAATAAAGTCAATGAAAGGTGTCAGAGGAATGATGCTATAGGAGCTCAGAAAAGGCAACAAAGTTAACAGAATCAAGAGGAGTGGAGCTTGTCCTTGGTCTTTAACATTAAGTAGAATTTGAATCAAATCGAGGTTTGGGGAGAGTATCTCAAGTAAGGGGGAATGGGGTCAGCAAAGACAGGCAGAGAAATACATAGTTGAAAGAACAGGCAGCTGAATATAACCCAGTAGGAAAAGGGTATGGAGGCAATAAACTTGAAATAATACATTGAGGACCTACTGGGAGGTAGTTAAAATGCCAGCCTCATTTGTTCATTTATTCATTTAACAAATACCTCTATGTGGAAAACCCTATACTTGCAAGCAGAGTCTATCGTAACCCTAATGAATATACAGTGTACAAGAAATTAGCACTGTGTCACACTCAAAAGAAACACAAATACTGAAGATTTCTTGCAGGAATTACATTGCATAATATCCATTAAGATGCATTAGGCAGTAATGCAATTAAAAGCCTCAGCTGGGAAGCCTAGGGATCCCATTTCTTTCAAAGTTAAATGCTCAAAGCCTGCCCAATATCACCTGCCCGCTCCCCTTACTCTCTCACCTCACTCCTGCTCCTCACCCTTGGCCCTACCACCTTCAGCCTCACTGACCTTGCTCTTTCTGAACACAGCAAGCACACTTCACTTCAGGGACTTTGCAAAAGTTGTTCCTTCTGTTTGGGAGGCTTTCTACCAAATATTTGTCTCTCTCTCTCTCCCTCATTTCCAAGTTTTTGTTTATATGTCACCTTCTCTCCGGAAGCCTACCCTGACTGCTTGTTTTTAAATTTGTAACCACCTTCCCTGAACTCCAGATCTCCAGATCCCCCTTACCTTCTGGGTTGGGTTTTGTTTTTTTTTTTTTTTTTCCGTAACACCACCCACAATGCTATATAATGTATGTTTTGTTCTATTTTTGTATTGTCTGTCCCCATTCACTAAAATGTAAGCTCCACCAGGACAGAGTGCACTACTATATATGTACCGATGCTAAAATGGAAAAAAAAAACTTAGCTTTTCACCTGTGTAGGGTGAGTGTGTTACTTCTTATGTTCCCATTCCTACTTTTAGAAATATATCAAACATAATTTGTTTCCCTACCTGATATTGCTAATATCTATTTTTTTTTTTTAATTTCCTGCTGACTCTTGCTCATGGTGACTTGTTTCTTTATGCACTCTGTGTGTGTGTCATTGTGAATTGGAATCCATTCTGGGAGCAGTTTTGGAGTTCTGGCTTGGATGGTGCCTTCCCCTGGAAAGACTTGCCTTCATTTTTGCAAGGCACCCGTGAGACTTGGATCTCCTTTAAATTAAGACTCTAAATTATTTCAGATGTTACAAATACTGTTAATTCAGGCAGGCTGTGGCCACAAATTCTCAAAGGAGACTTCTATAGCCACTCAGATTCCAAGCTGAGCAGACAAGTTTATTTGCTGTCTGGCTCTGTTTTAGGAGATTTTATCTCCTAATAGGGTTGCTCATTATGGATCCTAATTTTTTGTAGGTTGATCAGTGCTCCAGCTCCCCTCTCCTCACAAGTCTGAGGCCTTGACCCAGCCTCTCCATCCCGCTGCACCTCTATCACCTGCCCTGAAATCTAAACTCATCCCTGAGGTGGCTATAATGACTTCACTGCTTCTTCTGTGGATTCTCTTGGCCTGTTGCCAGGACTCGGGGATTCTTTTCCTTCTGACCAACTCATCCACTTATTTTAAAGGCTGTGTTTCTGCTTTTATATTCTAGCTAGCATTCTTGGGGTTTGTAAGAGTCTTCAGGACGTCTTGTCTGACCCATTATCTGAAATGAACCTCCTGAACCTCACAGAGGGAAACACAATGGGGGTAGGCATTCTCCCCAGCTTTGCCACAAATAGCCATGCAGCTCAGATGCACAGACCACAAATAGCAGCTCAACATTGGCTCCAACGGGAGGCAACCAGCAGCATCCAAAAGAAATGGTCTTGTTTGTCAACATGTAGAAGACACCTCTGGGGCTCCCCAGAAATATTTGGGAGGGACGTTTACAAAAGGCTGAGGGTCCTGTGTCACCAGCTAAGAGTAAGACCAGTGAAATGACAGTGTTTCATGTTAGGATGATGACTACCATTCCTGTCCACAGTCTGGGGACACCTAGGGGGTCTCAAATAACACCAATAATTCAAGAATTCAAAAGGCAACTATAGAACCTAAATACTGTAATTTTTTGTGGACAGGAACGACAGCTTTTTAATCTCTATAAACCCAGCTTGAAGGCTGGCCCTGAATACATTTTTCTTGACTGTATGAATTTTTCATGGTTATTTTCCCACTGTTATAGATTAACCCTTTTTTGCTTAAAAGAGAAACTGCAACTTTTTTTTTTTTTAAAGATTTTATTTATTTATTTGAGACAGAGAGAATGAGAGAGACAGAGAGCACATGAGAGGGGGGAGGGTGAGAGGGAGGAGCAGACTCCCTGCAGAGCAGGGAGCCCGATGCGGGACTCGATCCCGGGACTCCAGGATCATGACCTGAGCCGAAGGCAGTCGCTTAACCAACTGAGCCACCCAGGCGCCTGAAACTGCAACTTTTAAAAGTCATTTATTTTCTCCGATAAAATAGTAATTTTCTCAAGGAAAATTTCTCTGGATAGCCCATTTATGAGCTATATTTTTTCCTACAGTTGTATTGAAATTATGGTCAAGTCCAGTTTATCCTTGAGTTTCTGCTAATGGAAACCTACAATGGGAATATTAACCAACGGAACAAGGATTCAATGAAGCCGATGAGGAATTAATAATGTGTTTGGTAGAGCAAAGTACTAACTTTTTAGAAGCTATTACATAGGATTGGACACCCTCTACAAAGCTAAATTAAACACCAAGGATTAAGAACCATTTGAGGTAGAATTATTAAACGTCTTCCAATTTTAATGATGTTACCTCTTCAGTGGAATTTCATGCAGTGAATTGTTTCCTGTGAAGTCCTTATCATTTTAGGTTTCTCTTTAGATAAAAATGTATACTCAGTGTTAAACTCTCAGTTTTTTAAGTTTAAATTGTTATATTCTGATACAGACATGAGATTAATGATTTTAAAAGAAGCTTTCCAACCTAATTAAGTCCTAAAGAAATTAACCAAAAGAAAAATTAAAGGCATTTAAGGGGAGACACAAATCTTTACCAAAGTTAGGTCACCGAGGAATAAAACAGTATGTTAAAGTCAAATATACTGATATGCTAGGAATTGCTCTGGAATTGACATTGAACCTAAGAGGTGAAACTCAATAGTTTTTCAGTGAATGTACATTTATAGAATGGCATCTCTTCTACCCCAGTGGATCTTGACTTGTACAATCTTCCAATTCCTTCTCTGCCTCTGGCATAGACTCTAGATTCTGAAAAACTTCCTTTTGAATAACAGCTGTTACTGACTAGTTCTATTGCTTTGCACAAATTATTTAATCTATCTGTGCCTTGGTTTCCTAACTAAAGTAGGAAGACCTAAAGTAAGGCATTGTTCTGACAAAAATTCTGACCAAACTCTAGATGTTCTCCTCGAGTCGCACGTTCTTCTGACTGAGCCAGCCAGGTGCCTCCTCTGAGTCTTCCTCTTGGGTCTATTAAAACATGTAGATTCTCTGGGACGCCTGGGTGGCTCAGTCGGTTAAGTGGCTGCCTTAGGCCCGGGTCGTGATCCCAGGGTCCTGGGATCAAGTCCCACATCGGGCTCCTTGCTCAGCAGGGAGCCTGTTTCTCCCTCTCCCACTCCCCCTGCTTGTGTTCCCTCTCTCACTGTCTCTCTCTGTCAAATAAATAAAATCTTTAAAAAATAAAAATAAAACATGTAGATTCTCAGCACAAATGATATTGTCCACCCCCTTCTCCCACCACGAAAAAGCTTAAACATTAAAAAAATTTTCTAACACCTCAAGATACATCCCTAAGATGGTCCCAGTGTCCCCCTTCCCCCAATGTGCCTGTTTGAAAAAGCTAGAACTGTTTGTTCTAGCCAACACCTGGCGGCCCCTGACCACCGATTCTTATTCCCTAAAATGAATTTACAATGGTGAATCCTCCCTCTGTCCCTTTGAGGTGTATATATACATATATATCTATATATATATCTCTATAGATACATATATATAGATATATAGATATATATATTTCCTGCAACTCAGGAGTGTCTTTCTCAAGGACCTGAAAGCTTTCCTTTGAAATGTAATCCTCAGGAAGAACAGGGCCTCTGTGTTAGAAGTCTCTGTGTAAGGATAGAATCCTAACTTCCATAATTGCCAGCTAACACAGATGGCCTAAAATGCATTTACACTGACCAACCCTTTGTAATTTTTCACTTCCCTGACTTTGCTTAACCTTCCACCGGTTCCCTTCCCTATTCCCTGATTTTCTTTTTAAAATGTTCAGCCAAGCCTGTATAAATCAAAGTTTACTTAGTTCATTCTGGACTTTCTTTAATGCAACAATGTATTACTGATTAAAACCTGTCCTTACCACTTTAACCAGTGTCTGGCTCGTTTCATCTTTGACAATTCAAGAAGTGAGAAAAAAAAGTGAGAAAGTGAGAAAGTGAGAAAAAAAATGTTTTAAATACAATAAGATATAAAATAAAATAAATAAAA